CTCCTGCCCCCATCAGTGCCTTTGCCCAGCTCCCCCATCCTCAGTACCCCTTCCTCCATCACCCCCTGCGCAGCTATAACCCCCTCACCACCTAAAACCCTCCTAGTGGCCCCATTATTGCCTGCCACCCCATCACTCCCTGCTGCCCCAACACCCTTATCACGCCCTGGCCTATTACCCCAGTATCCAGCATGTCCTGTCATAAGCTTTTAGCTACCATCATCGCTCTCGCCATTCCCCCAGCCTTCATGGCCCATCAGCCACACATCACCAGCAGCTCTCGGTGACAAGATTTGGAGAGTTTTGGCAAGTGCTGCTGGGTCCCAGGGATGATACTGGGCGTGCTGCTGTGACATAGCCTCAGGATGTGTGGCTGATGGACCATGAAGGTTGGGGGAATGGTAAGAGTGCTATGAGGGCTATTGCCTCAACAGCCCTGAGCCCCAGAATCCTGTTGCCCCATTCATAACATCCTCAACAATCTCCTTAACACCATCCCTGTCATTAATAACATTCACATTCCTGGTCTCACCAGCCCCTCTTTCTTATGTTCCCAGACCTGCTCAACATCTCCAAACTTTATTCCTACCGTAATCTAATTCCTAGTTTATTTATGCACTTCTTTCCCTTTTATTATCCCCTCTTAACACAGTATAACCTGCACGCTAATTCTCTTAACTCCCAAACTCCACCATCTCATAGCCCGTTCCTAATCTCCAGTTTGAATTCCCCAATTGTTGCATTAAACTTCTAAATTTTATGCCCCTTCAATGTTGGCAGTTTTGTCCTTGTTCGTCAAAGGCTTGTTCTTACTAGAACAAATGCATTATCAAGCACTGTCATGTTAACCACAGCCAGCTGCTAAAATAATCAACTGTAGGATTACCTATATACAATTGACAATGTAAAACACATCATGGTCTTCCTGTGCTTGAAAGGTCTGTCTAGAATAGATGATGAAAGAAGATGATTTTGAAATTGAGCTGGACATCTCTGTTAATGACTCTCTCCTGGTATTACCGCTGTTTGCCCTCTCGTGCACACAGACGTGACAGAGAGACAGGACATGAAGTCCCTGGAATAGTTGTAGGCGATGGAGGCTGGTTATTGGATTAGGCACAAAACTGAGATCCAGACTACACATTACAAGTTTTATGGCATTTGATTCAGAGTTGGAGATGTTAATTTGGGTTATGTCATATTCCCATTTAGGTAACTACATTCTGCTTTCTCATCAACTGCGTGCATTATTCTTCACTGTCTTTCTAAATAGTCACAAAATGTTTAAGAGATGGGTGAAAAATATTGAGGAGGGGAGTGGACACTGTAAATGTGTTTTATAGAGATAGGAAAGATTTATTTACTTTGATAATAGCACTCGCAGGTTCCAGTCTAGATCAGGGCTCCACTGCAGTCAGGGCTCCACTGCAGTCAATGCTGTACAAACATAAGATGACATGATCCCTGGTCCAAAATGCTTACAAGACTGCTTTATAGCAATAGAAAGGATGCTGTATAAACATAAGATTGAATTATTAGAGAAGCCGTGTAACCTTGTGGATACAGCACTAGACAGGTTCAGGAGACCTGGGTTCTATTCCAAACTTTGCTGTTGAGAGACCTTAGGCAAGTCACTTCTTCTTTTTCTGCTGCAGCTTTCCATTGGGATAATGAAATTGACCTCCTTTGAGATCCATGTATTGTTATATGGTAAATTATGAAAGTTACCGATAAGAATTTGGTGGTGGTGTTGAATAAAAGTTACGTTCTCCGTAACAGTTAGTGTTTTGGAAAGTAACTGTCTCTTTTTTTCATTGCTACCAGATATCTGATAATTCACAGATGGCGGTGTTGAATAAAAGTTACATTCTCCGTAACAGTTAGTGTTTTTGGAAAGTAACTGTCTCTTTTTTTTCGTTGCTACCAGATATCTGATAATTCACAGGTAAAATACCAAAGTTTTAAACATACATGCTAAGTACTAAGTTGTTTCCAGTTGCACTTCCCACAAGTTTCCTCCTGAGCCCATCATCAGAGCTGCTATCTTGGCTAATGCAACACTGTTGACCTTTGGAAATTGCAACACAATGATGCTCAGCGACAGGACTGAGCATGCTGGCCCTCCCATTGTTGCTGATCTGGATATCGAGATTTGAGTTACACAGCGTGGGCTTAGATACTACAGTGAGATGCTGTAGAAAATCGTAAGATGTTATTAGCCCCTATTGTGGTAATTGTATAAAACACCAGGTTGCCCTGGATATAACTTTTTAAAAATCCAATAAAAAAATCTAATAAATCTAAGATTTAAAATAATGTATTGATACAATGTAGAATGTCTCATAAAAACTATTGTTGCAAGGGACTAGATACCTCAGGGAACTGGTCATGGAATACAGAAGACTTTCTCCATTAGGTTGCTGGTTCTTAATCAGTCCAAGTTGTTAGTGGCCCAAGGTTGTTAGCATTTGAAGGTGGTGTGGTCGTTTTAGGTTTCATACCATTTCCTACTGGGTATTTTGCCCATATCACAAAAACTACTATATCACTTAATTTCCAAAGGGGCCAAATAATATTATCTTAGCAGAGAAGTCACCAACTGCACAGAGATTGGAGACTGAATGCTCCTTTTGCTTTTATAAGGTCTTCTTTATGCAGGGAAGTTCTTCTGAAAGAAGATAGGATGTGAATTTAAAGCATTGTAGCTTTTCTGCAGTAGTTGTTCATGTGGGCTCTCTGTTCTGGATTTCAAAATGCTTTGCATTTTCCTTTGCACCTATAGAGAGAGAATAATCTGCCAATTCACTTGACCATTAAACTTTGTTCTCCTCATTTTTGTCCACAGAATTGGACTTTTGACCCATTATGCACATTATCCTACAATAACGTCCCCCAAACTGTAGTTTGACATTCACCCATTTTTATGTATAAGTATGAGTATGTTTTGGGGGGAAATATAGTTTGAAATGTTCTTTTTATCTAAGATTTGTAACAAAGAAGAAAACTCCTTGCCTGTTCCAAAAAGCTCCTTGTGTGCCAATTAAAGTGAAATTCATGTCTGAGGAGCAGTCTTCAGGGCACTATGGAGAGCCTGGGCCTGCAGGCAGTGACCCTTACTGACGGGACAACAGCCTACATTCAGCAGGCCATCAAAGGTAAGAAGAGATCCTTTTGGCTACTGAGCCTAGATATGTTGTGACACAGAAAAATCAGAGAACATAATATCTTGCTGTTCTCCTTGTTGACTTGCTCTGGGCAAGAAGCTAGCGTTTGTTAGATTTCACTGAAGAGTGACTCCTTAATAAAGAGGAAACATACCACTGATGTTGAAACTAACATACCAGAGCCAAGACAGCTACTGTAATGCAAACAGAGGATGATAGGTTCAGAGTACAGTGATTAGCTTTCTCTCTGCAGGTTAATTATAGGCTGCA